TTGAATTCAAGAGTCAAATACTAGGTCACACGAAAAGAAGCAAAATTTAACGTCCCATAACGGCACCACATCTTAATCTTAAAGTATAACTTGCTAGTGAATAAAATATTAAAATTCAAATGAAGACACAAAAAAGGACAAAGATTTAGCCGTGAAAACAAGGCCAAATAACTCCATGTGGGAAATAACGCCAAGTATACAAATCGCAGAATTTTTTTTCAACTATAAAGTCTACCTATGCATGAAATTAGTTAACGGAAAAAAAAATCCAACACGCACCGATTTGATAGGCCCCCTTCTCGAGATCACTTGCAACTATTAAAAATTTTAGCTTGTTCAGCTTTAGATTTTTGATAGCCTCGTGAAAACCACAGATGATCCGTCTAGTACTCTTTCTTTTCGCGGGCTGGTTAGCAGTCTGCTTGTAGGCACGATCGTGAAACTCTGCGAGTGGTTTTAGTAACTGCTCGATTTGAGAATCCAGTTCTGGAATACGAGGTGGAGCGATGTTCTGCAGAGAACAAAAGGCTAGAATAAACAACTCTGACGACTTCAACTAAAACAGTTTTAAGCATAGAAACCCATCTAGTTGTAGTGGCTCGAAGGGGGTTACTGTATAAATGAAGACACTCAGGTCTAATAAATTTGCCATAGAAACCTTTAATGCAAATTGACGAGGAAGATCAATAACCCGACGACAAGGGATAATCGGACTCATCAACTGCTCAGGCGAACAGTAACTAAGGAACCTACCAAATGTTAAAGACTTAGATAAAGAAAACATCATGAAAGGCGCACTTAGCCTTGGAGACTTTCGTTAACACCATCAGTACCCTATACAATCTGAAATAACACTAACACGTGGTAAATATTCTTATAAATGACATAAAAATATCGGCTTCGAAGAATCACAATCGTAAAAACTAACCAAAACTTTTGTTGGCGTTTCTTTAGCCACTGGTGGTGCTTCATTGGATTTGAGCAATTGCTGTAGCTCACGCCTGACTTTCCGATCATTGACAATGCCCCTTTTAAGTACGGAAAGTCGCTTCGTCTTAGGGGCTGCCCGTTCCTTACCGCGTCGCTTCGGAGCACTCGATTCAGCCAATGTGCTGCGAAAACGAGAGAGGAGTCGTGCTTTCATTACATCTGTAAGCGGACGCTTTGCATTTTTCATTTTCTGGTGCCTCCGAAGGACTTTCTTCTGGGCTTTCACGTGTGGAGAATCCAGTGAAGGAGAGTAACCAGTCCGCTGTAGAACTCGGATAAAACATTGGTGAGGATTGAGCGAGACGCTTCATATACAAGATGAAAAACAGGCAACTTTAGTTGCAGTCGGGTTTTGGATTTTGCAACGGATCTGAACGACGAATACAAAGTTGCTTAATAAATTCAAAAGTCATAGACGTTAAAAGGAAAGTCAAACTATTGCATGTGGATGTTGGTGTAAGGAAAACTAAAGAGATTTCCTGATTTCTGCTTCAAATGAAGACGAGTTCCCATAAAAATTACATTCAGTTATAACCTACGGTTATTTCATTTTACATCAATGGCTAACCAGACATCAAACAGTGAAACGTAAAAAACTTACTCATTAGGGCATCTTGAAAGATTTTAACATTAATCAATTCTGGGGAGATGGCAACAAAACCTTGCGAAATGCAGAGCAATAAATTGTTCTACACATGGTTACTCTTTTATAGACGGCATTTGAGGCATATATCAAATTTGGTCATTGACATCACGAAAATGGATCCAACGACCAGCAATTATGAACAAAAAACACTGGTGGGGAAAAAATTGCTACTACCTCCAAATTGAGTCAACTGAAACAGATGAGGATAAGGCGATTGTTTTATTACTTTGGCAATGATTAAACTTGGCGGATAGTTTAGTGAAAGAAAAAAAATTATCCATGCCAACGAAAGGAAGTAGCCTTCATACCTATTTCTGCAAGCAGTGTCCTCTACAACCGGCTGATTGATATGACCGGCTTTCCTTACGTCGTGACGCTTATTTATTCCACCAGCAATTTCATTAAAACAATTTTGCCTGTCGGAATCTACCTCTTCCCTTTCTTGTGAACACACGGTTGATGAAGTGGCAACGATGCCGGTCAAACAGGAAGCTTGATTTGACAGTAAATCATCTGAAACCAACACTTTGGAGGATCTCGGCAAACTTTTAGCAGCAGGTTTGTTACATGCATCAGTTAGGTTCACTCTATCAAGTGACACCACCTCTGTTGCACTTTTGGCATTGTTTCGGTCATCCAACGGTAGCGCCTCTGAAGAACACTCTTTGACGTGAGACGTGAGGGGATGCAGAACACCTGACTCTGAATTGGATAGTGGTTCCAGGTTTTGTGGGATTTTGGGATTGCATCTTCTTCTTCTTCTAGTTCTTTTCTTCATATTTGCCAGTGAGGGCTCCGATGTTAAAGCCGATGAAATTGGACTTGTTCGCTCAGGCTTCTGATTGGATAAATATGAGGGGTCGTTTGGAGTTGTTGAGCAACGATGTGCCGCAGCCTCCAATTTTTTAAGATCACTGTTTATTTTTTGACTCCCATAATCACCTTCTTGTGAACACACGGTTGATGAAGTGGCAACGATGCCGGTCAAACAGGAAGCTTGATTTGACAGTAAATCATCTGAAACCAACACTTTGGAGGATCTCGGCAAACTTTTAGCAGCAGGTTTGTTACATGCATCAGTTAGGTTCACTCTATCAAGTGACACCACCTCTGTTGCACTTTTGGCATTGTTTCGGTCATCCAACGGTAGCGCCTCTGAAGAACACTCTTTGACGTGAGACGTGAGGGGATGCAGAACACCTGACTCTGAATTGGATAGTGGTTCCAGGTTTTGTGGGATTTTGGGATTGCATCTTCTTCTTCTTCTAGTTCTTTTCTTCATATTTGCCAGTGAGGGCTCCGATGTTAAAGCCGATGAAATTGGACTTGTTCGCTCAGGCTTCTGATTGGATAAATATGAGGGGTCGTTTGGAATCGTTGAACATAGATGAGTAGCATTGACTACTGAAGGGAGTAGAAAATATTCAGGCATTTGCAAAGAGCAGACAGTAGGCTGCATATACCAGTGAGAATCATTGTAGAACAATGAATGCGAGTCGATGTGAGGTGCAACAATGTAATGCTGAGGCGGTAACTGCACATATAAGGACTCAGCATCAGCAAAATCCATCTACAAATAAAATACCGCTCGAAAAAAAAGATAAGAAAACATAAGAAGGTGAAAAACCAAAAGTAAATTAACTGCACAATACCTCAGAAAGACATACCCCCGGTTTAGATTTGTGCATTAATATCCATTGGATTTTACACAAGAAATTATTAAATGAAACTAGTACACTTTCGACATTGAATAATCGTACGAAATATTTGGCTAAGACACAAGAAATAGGCACTGAAGTTCACAAAATCAATCTAGATTACCTAAAAGAAGGTGATAAATAAGGTGCATAACTGCAAATTTAGTTTAAATATTGCAGAATTAACTCGTGAACCATATAGGAAAGTTGGGCAATAGGCATAAATATCTCTACCCAAATCATAGAGTTAAGTAACCACACTGATTATTTCAATCAGATACGAATAATACATCACTATTATTTCAATATTGCTACAACAAAGGAGCACAGCTAACATGACTTATGGCATGACAATATCTCGACAAAAATGCCAAAAGATGCAATCAGTAGATGCGCGAGGCAAAAAGCAAGAATCTCATTAGGTGTTTAAATAGTCATGTATGCATATCCTCTACCATAAAACTTCAATCTAACAATCAAATCCACCACCCGAAAATCTCAATCTGAAGATAACAAGGACGAAGTTGTGCAATATTTCTTAAAATTTTTGCCATCCAAGCAATCAAAGCTTAAATAGCAATTAAAAAAGACTCATGAATGCCATGACTACATGGACTCTCGATAACTGGGAGATGGTGTCCACGGATCCAAACGTACAAAGCAGCAGGTGCTAGTCAAAATACGACATTGAGTTACTTTTTTATCCTAAGAGAGACGGATGCAAACAGTAATCACCACGATTCAGTAATGATGGAAATAAAAAGAAGACAAAGGACATATTGGAATAAAGAAAAACCAATCATTCGAATTAGTTTTCTTTGACGACGAATAGAGGGAGCCGACATATTGGACCGCGGAAGCCTCATTAAATCCTCTGTCTGTCTGCGTTCCAATGGCATGCGAGGAAGATAAACAGCCAACCAGAGAAGG